AGACTAGATATAAGGAAGAAATTTTTTACGCTGAGGGTGGTGAAACACTGGCACAGGTTGCCCAGAGAGGTGGTGGATGCCCCATCCCTGGAAACATTCAAGGTCAGGTTGGACGGGGCCCTGAGCGACCTGATCTAGTTGAAGATGTTGATGAAAGTTGAAGCTTTCCTCAGGACCTGCACTTCCAGCTCTGAAAGGTGACTTCTTTGCTAGGACAGATGTAGACAGTGTCCTAATTATGATAACGCCTATTGTCCAACTTCCTGCACATGAAGACACCATCAGGAAATCATCAGTCACCCCTGTCACTCCCCTCTGCCATCCCAGCCAGACTACTTCCACTAGTAACCTACCTGCACTGTGTGCGTGCTATTAGTGCTCTGAAGAAACTCGCCTTCCTCCCCAGCTCTAACATCACCACAGTCCTCCAGCAAGCGCACCCTCATGCCGCGCACCAGGTTTGCCTGTAAGTACTCCACATAGCCACTGCGGTCTGCAAAGTCTGATGGGGTCAGGAAGGCACGACCTTGCTTTTTGTGGGGACCATGATTTGAAGTAAGCACAGGCATTTGGGCAGCAGTGCAGGCTGGGGTCTTGGGCTGGAAGATGGAGTGGGTGGTGCGAGGCTGCAGTTCCTGTTGGGGCAGCAGCTCTGGCTTGTGGCTGTGGTCCCAGCCCATCACGTGCACCAGCTCCAAGATGAGGTTTGCCATAGCCATGCTGAACTCAAACTCCTGCTTCATGCGGCTCCTCTCCTCAGCGAGCAGGCTGGGCACAGCGCACTCTTGCTGCTCCCCTCCCTGCTCCGCACCACTGCTGAGCTTGTCCATGAGAGAAGTGACACACAGGTAGCGCTTCACCAGGACGAACAGCAGCTTCCCAGGGATCTGCAACAAGCACAGCTGTCAGACTCTAGCCTGCAGAGCGCCTCCAGCCCCCAGCTCTCTCCGAGCCACCAGCTCATCCACAGTCAGGCTCCCATGATAGCTCTGGACCAGCAGGCATCAGCAGAGACCTCTCAGCCCACCCTCGTCTCCCTGCTCAGAGACAAGGCTCTCTATGTGTCTCTCCACCACCCCCCAGCCTCAAGCCAGATCCTGTGCCAGCTCTCCCCATACCCAGTCCTGCTCAGCTGCCCACTGCTGACTACCCTCCTGTCCCAAACAAGGACACCAGCTCTGGCCCCCTGCTCTCACCCCTCCTGACCCCTAAAGCCCACAGGCCCAGGGCTGGCAGGGCCTGACGCTACCTGGGGAAGGTGAATCCCCTCAAAGGACATGCAGTGCTCTTCAGAAGACATCATCTCGGCAAACAGCTCCAGCAAGGTGTAGCGACCGTCAAAGTCTACATGCTGCTCAATGCCATCCTGCTGGCTCAGGGACAGCAGGACATAGGCCCGACTCCCTGCAACAACAACAGAAACCCTTAAGGCCCCCTAAAGATAACCCTCACCCCACCCTCCCTGTGCAAGACAGACTTGCAGGCGAGGAACAGCTTTGCTGCTCAGTGTAACCTAGAACCACGTTCTGTCCTTTAATCTGGATTGGCAACATTTTGCTCCACCGAATAACACTGCATTTTTTCCACCCCTAAAGCTGCAAGATTCCCCCAAAGCAGCAGTCCCAAATAACTGTCTCCAGAACAGGGTTCCAGGGAAGAAAAAAGTTAAGTTTTAGCCTGAATCAGCCCCCCACCTGCCCCACTGGAGAGCCACATGAACTCGGGCACTAGGACAGGGAAAGCCAGATCTGTTGTGGGACACACACCACCACTAGCAACCTTCCAGGTGTACCCAAGCCTCATCAGGCACTTCTAAGCCATGGCAGGTCCTCTCAAATGAGAGGACTGGGTGAGGACCAGGCCTCTACCCCCCAGGGCCTGAGGAACAGCTCCCTGCCAAGAACAGGACAGAGCCTTTCCAACTGACAGCATGCAGCAGAGACACCCCAACACTCTGCCAAGCCCCTTGGCATAAGTCCTCCTAACAGTTAATCAGCATCCCAGCCCAGGAACCTGTCAGGGGAAAGAGCTCCCAAGTCTTAGAGCACCCCACACAACTACGGCCGAGGAGCCGCTTGGAAGCTCCAGTCTGATTCTTCCCCTTTTGCCAACAAGCCCCGAGACACACTGCTTCCCAGGCATCCCACACCTACAGAAGGACTGGCACCCCTCAGCTGCCCAGCAGCACCTCCTCAGTGGCACTGAGCAGCAGCAGCCCCCACCTGCATCATGTGAAGCCAGGGCCCTCAGCATCTTGCCAGCACTGCGGCGGATTTGCTTCTCCTTGTGGCACAGCATCTTCATCAGCAAGTCAAGGGCTCCCGTCTCCTTGAAGGCACCCGCCAGCGAGCCAATGCTGGCGTACGCGCTCAGCACATGGATGGTGTTGAGAATGGAGGACTCGGGGGCCCCGGGTTCAGCCATCTGCCGGCCAGCTCGCTGCACCAGGCTCCTGACATCAGCCTTCATCTCCAGCAGCGAGGCTTCATCCAGCGGGACAGCTGCAGCGAACGGGCTGGCTGCCTTCTCCTCTTTCACCCACTGCCCTTCCAGCTTCCTCTTGCCCAGCAGCGCCGGGCAGCTGGCACAGACCTCTTCTGCAGACATCCACATCGAGATGTTCTCCGGCTTGGTCTCTGCAGAGGAGGCACTGCTGCCTCCCACTGCTCTCTCTTCCAAGCTGATGATACTCCACTGGATCAGGTACTCAGGCTGGCCATCGTGGCCTCGCCGCTGCCGGAGCAGCTCCTCTGGGTAGGCCTGCAGTTTGGGTCCCAGGTGCACAAGCAGGTTGCCATTATGCCTCTCGTTCACCATGACAGGAAATGTGCCTGCAGAGACAGAGGGGAAGCAGAGGCAAGCTTTTATTTCTGAGCCGCATGCCACGGAAAGCGTGAGCAACTACCTCAGTTGTTTGATAGTAGAAGCGGCTGAGGCACAGCTTTTGATCCTGAGATCCTGCACCCAGGATAAAGCTCTGAAGAAAACCCCATTTTGCAGAAGCTCACATCCCCCCTCCAAGAAAATGAACCAGTGTTTCATACACAAACCCTGTTCCCAGCGTTACCGGCACACACAGAAAGAGGTTCTCCTCAAAAAACCCAAGGCAAAATGGGCCCATTCAGATCCTCTTATAAGACAGCAAATAACGACAGGAGATCTGGGTCCTGTTCTCATCTCTGCCACTGTCCACAACATGACTCTGCACAAGTTGCTGCTTTTGCACTTCTGTCTTCCCTCTTGTTATTTACCATTTATGTCTGTTTAGACTGCAAGTTTACCTAGAGCTCAAGGCTTCAGGCAAACACTCTCTCCCACTGTGGAGCTGGACCTAACTTGAGTCACCAGGCCCTGAAGAAAATAACCACCAATTTCTCAGATCAAGTTCATATGCATCAAATCAGGTCACTATCTAAAAGCCACTCAATACTTCCTCCTTGGCCTCCTCTCAGGTATTCTTTGCCTTTACAATGTTTAGTCAATGGGCAAATTCAAGAAAACGAAAAGTGCTACTCTCTGCTGCCTGATTGCTCTGCATATCTTAGGACTACAAAGAAGAAGCCATGACACACCTCTGCTTTCATCTATACAAAGAGGAGCATGAAATAACTTGCTGTCTAAGACTGAGTGGCAGCAATCAGCTGGCCAGCTGTAGACAATACCACACACAATGGACTGACTCCATTACTAGAAAGGATGCCAGATCAAAGTCTGATAAGAAGGTTCTCAAAGGACCTCAGGCAGGTTGTAGTGGAAACACACGAACAGACCCTCTTGTTGTCACTTACACATACTAGCAAGAGAAGCAGTGAAGCAACACGCTGTTCAGCTGATGGTAACACAAGTCATTCTTAAAAAAAGGAGTTAACATACATAGGAAATAGTCAATCCATGTACAACTGAAGAAGATACTGACCGTCAAAGACGATGATAGGCACATTAAAGATGTGGTATTAATTTCTCGGGAGTTGTCCTGGTTTCGGCTGGGATAGAGTTATTTTTCATACCTACCTTCAGTTGTGCCTTCCTTGGAGTTTGCAGCAAGCCAGCTGGGAATCTTCTTGCAGTCTCTCTGTAATAAAAGGACCGAGTTATTCTCCTGTGCTTTGTAACAGTGTTTAGATGCTGCACCATAAGCCAAACAATTGTTTTCCCTAATTGTGCTTGTTCAGTGCACAAAAAACCCCTATCCCAAGAGGTTCACATAAAATAAAATTCATAGTAAAACAAAAGTCTCTGTGAAGCATTATTTTGTTTGATAACTTCACCCCGTCCCCACATCATGGCATTTAACATGAAAAAACCTCTTCAGAGCAGAGCTACCAGAAGGGGCCCAAAAGGATTTGTAGCTAGGTAGGGGAGAATTTGGATTTAGGGCACCTGAGGAAGTAGCTGCAATGCGTATGATGAATGAGGCCACCAGAGCCTATGACAGCCCACAGCCAAACTGTTCCACTGCTCAAATACATGCACTACAATACGTTTCAGAGTTGTGGCAAATGAACACGCCAGCTACAATGCCGAGTCCCTAAAGCACCACGGCACCCGGTTCAGAAGTGCAGCCCAGCACAGCCTGCGCACAGGTAGGCAGAGCATCCCATCACACCCCCGCGACGGCGGGGACGGCGGCCTGCCTGCACACGGAAACGAGCAGGGCCGCTAAAAACGATTTGCCTCGGCAATGGCCGCCGCGGAAAAGACGGGTTTTCTTCCGGGCCGCTGCAGACACCTCGGCAAGCCCTGCTCCACCTCCCGGTCTCTTCGCTCACCACTGCCCCGTCGGCACCGCCCCAGGAGCCGCAGCTAGGCCTGCCGCAGCGCCGCCGCAGCGGT